ATTATTGCTATTATTATTGCTATTATTATTGCTATTATTATTACTATTATTTTTGCTATTATTATTGCTATTATTATTGCTATTATTATTACTATTATTATTGCTATTATTATTATTGCTATTATATTATCATCATCATCATCATTGTAATTATAGAATTAACTGGATTTTCATAGTTTTCATGAATTCGTAGTTTACTCATAAATTTTCCGGTTCTAGAAACAGCGATGTAAGTATCGCTTCAAAAAAAAAAAACTCTATCTAGTAAAATCAATTGCCGTTACAATTCGATCCAATATCCATTTGACGTGTACCTGACCTATTACAAACGGATCACAAACTATCGATCGATTAATTGAATTCATGAAAACTTTTTGGCAGTTTTTGATCAAACACGTACCAGACGAAACAAATTTCTGAGCAGGATTCTTTGACACTTTGATCCGTTTATCAAGCAATAATTTGAGTCTTCTGCCAAGTTCCGCTAAGACTAAGAGTAAAATTGAAAATTGAAAAGTATCGAAACATACCAGCTTACGAAGTGCATCTGGAACTGAAGCTTCGAAAATATATTGTGATAATTACAAGCTTTATTTAGTATTCTCATCGAGTGACGATGGCTGTAATATGTGGAATTGTCACTGCGGCGATTTTTCAACTTCTCATTGGTCTTGCCTCGACTGGTTACGGTGCTTACATTGTCTTTTTGTTAGCAGGAGTGGATCTCGAGAGTAATCAAGAACTAGCAGTTGTTGCTTATTCAACTTTATGGATGTCCCTTATCGCATTCGGAGTGACGGTGAGTGAACTAATAGGAAAACTATTGCATTTGGTAAGTTAAAACTTTACTAAGCTTTGGTCTCAAAATGTTATATAAATTGACCATGTYTGCTGAAATAATTTTGTTTTTTAATGTGAAGGTCTCCTCTATAACGAAATCAAAGACATTGTAAATTTATATTTCTACAGAATCAGTAATATATAACATATGTTTCACAGATAGTTTGGATTTAAACCAACGGCAAACAAATCCATTAACTAAAAATTATATTAATAATTTATCAAAGTTTTGAGCATTTTATTTTATTTGGCGGCATATTATTTTGAAAACTGTTTCGTCTATATTCTACGACTTAAATTATGCATTTGCAGGTTTTCTATTAATGTCCTGTCATTGTAGACACTCGGAATTCCAATTTTCAACTTTATTGAATTTCTTTGAGAAAGAAAGATTTTTAGAAGATCTCTCTTCTTGGAAAATGTTCGTGAATTAAGTTTCACATTCCTGGAAACCGTCACACAAGAGTTGTAAAGAAAGATTGATATTGAAAATGAATTTTCCGATTTCTTACGTCAAGGTTAAGCCGGTTAGATTCACTAACCGATCAGTAGTTTAAGGTAAAGGTTAAGAAGACCTTTCTTCTTGGTACATGTTCCTGAATTTTCACGAAGTTTCACATTCCTGTCTCGAAACCGTCACACAAGAGTTGTAAAGAAAGATTGATGATATTGGAAATAATTAAATACGATTCGACGATTTTAGATTCACTAACCGGAAATGAAATTAAACACTCGACCGGAAGTCATACTTAAAGACAAACACGGTTGGACAGATAATGTTTAGAGGGGTAAATAGACCCTATGAAAAAACCATTTAAAAAACAAATGCTTATTATTGGGGAATTGTTTTGTTACCAACTGAAACATTTTTTTAACGTGCTTAGTTTCAAAGTTAGAAGGCCAATATTTTGTATATATGGATGGATGGATGGATGGA